TCCTGCGAAATCATCTGTCCAAAACATTATGCAGTTTAATGGAGAAAACAGTTGTGGTAGTTGCGAAGTAACAGGAACAAGCTGTACAACTGGTAGTTGATCTAATTGGATTTTTCCAGTAAATCAAGATAATGTTTATTTGAGAACTGCTGAACGAATGGAAATTCAAACTGGAATTGCGGAAAGACATCAACTAAAGCATTTTAAAGGAGTTAAAGGTAAATTGATAGTCACAAACATACCATTTTTTGACCGAACCAAGGGATTTGTCGCGGATTACATGTACGCTGTGTTACTTGGCGTGATGTTGATGCTGTTAACTTTATGGTGTGATTCAAGTAACCGCGAAAAAGATTTTTACTTGAACAAAGAAACGCGGGATGTAATTGACAAAATTTTACAATCATTAGCTCCTCCAGATGAAGTCACGCGAACCTCAAGAAAATTGAGTAACATCAGTGATTGGAAGGCCTCAGAATTAAGGGCTTTTCTACTGTACTACGGACCAGTGGTTTTAAGAAAAAGACTTGTAGACAGATTTTATGATCATTTCTTATTGTTGGCGTGAGGAATTTATTTACTTTCACAAGAGGAAATCACCCGGCCTGAATTGAATTTAGCAGAAACACTACTACATCTGTTTGTAATCGACATGGAAAGACTTTATGGTCTTAATAAATGTTCTTACAATGTCCATCAATTGCTCCATCTGGTAGCGTTCATCATGATGTGGGGACCACTCTGGGCATGGGCTGCGTTTTCTTCCGAAGATCACAATGGCAAGCTCATCAGAATGATTCATGGTTCCAATAAAATTGATATGGAATTATCAAATACAATCAAAATTGTTCAAGCTTATAGAAATATACAATTTCTAATGAATCCCAACAGACTAAGAAACCATATCGAATGTAAAGCACACGGACCGCCAGTTACATCTGATATTACAAATAGCGATTAATATGCAATTAGTCGAGCGACAAATCTTACCGAAGAGCAGTTGCGAGCATCTAACGTAACAATTTTTAGTAGATGTAAAATCAACGATGAGATTTTCACATCTACATTGTATACTCGACAGAAAAAACGTACAAACTTTTACGTACATTGGAAAGATGTAGAAACAGATTTTTTCAGTTCTGTAAAATTCTATATAAGTATAGAAACAAAACTTTTTGCAGTTTTGCATCAACTTATCATTTCTAATGATAAAACTCATCAAATTAAGAACAGAGAGCTTGGATTTAACCTCGATCGACATTTAATACATATTTATGATTCTTACTGTATCCACGCTATTCCCATTCAAAAATTATCAAAAGTTTTACGAGTCGAAAATTACATTTGTCTGTTTCCAAATAACATGGAAAAAAATAGGGCCGTTTATCTATCTATACAAATAAAATTAGACTTTTGTCTGTACATTGCCTAAAAGTTTAAATTTCTTACATATGTAATTTTTCGTTTTGAGCATCAAGGAATCCAAACATATCCATAAAAAATTTCATGTCTTTTTTTATGTATGTATTTCACAGAAACTTTGCTCGCGCATCACTAAAAAACGGCTCCACGTATTAAGACCAAATTTGGTGGTATGTTAGGTCTTGACTCGAGTAAGGTTTATAAATTTACAGATTTGAAAAATATTGATGAGAACAGAAATTATGAAAATTTTTCAAAAAAATTCGAATAATCGAAAATTTTTAAGTTATTAATTTTTTTATAAATTGCTTTTAAACTTTTTACTGTTGAGTGTTAAATATTATTTAGTCACATTTTAGTACGATTTTAAAAACATTATAAGCCAAAATTGAAATATAGCTATAATTTTTTTTGGTCAAAAAATGAAAATATCAATAATTGTAACCAATTGCTTTTCTATTTAATTCAAAAGTAATTCTAGAGTCTCTTATTGAAATTTTATGGCAGGAAAATAAAATTCCGAATTGCAAATTTAAAAAATTGGGCACAGAAATTTAATATTCAAAAAATCATTTATTAAATTAATTTTATTCAAACTTGATGCAGAATTATTTTTAGTTCTTCTGTTTATAAAAATATAATTTGTAAATTATAAAATTTTAATCCAAATGATAAAAATATAATTTTACAAAATTATAAATTACGTATCTGATTTTTGTTTCAACTTTTTCCTTTATAATATAAATAATCTATTTTATTAAATAAAAAATAAATTTATTGGACTTTAATTATAATATATTATAAATAACACAGATTTACATAATAAAGTTTTATAAAAAATTATGTAAACTATAAGTTTCCATGTTGGCTGAAAATATATTGGCAGCGAACAAACAACAACTTAAGTCTATGTGTAATGGAGTCATGTAATGGAATTATTCGCCTTAGAACCGAATACCGTTTGAAAGTTTGGAGGAAACAAACGGATATCAACTTGAATTGGTAAGAAGCAATTTTAAAGTTTCTCCAGTTTGGAAACAAAAATTATAATTTGAAAATTCACGGAACAATTTTTTAAAATATTTAATTACATTTTGATGATTCGCATCTTTTAAAATCATTCAATTCCTTTTTTTTAATTTTTCAGTAAAGTTTTGTATTTTTTATAAGAAAATTCTACGTAATCGAAAATTATAAATATTATAATAAAATGTAGTAATTACTAATCAGGATTACTAGAAGTTATAGAAATTAATTAAATAAAATAAAGGTTATTAATAATCCAGATGTTATAGAAATTAATTAAGTTAACTAATTTAAAGTACAGGAAATATAAGCGTAACTAACAAAATATTTCTTATTACTGCTTATTGTCATATCTGAGCAAAGAGACACAATTCAAAGAACGGGGAAAGTCGCTTGTTCAAAGGAATTTTTGACGAAATTGTAAAACTCATACACTTTAATTTTAGATTCATTAAGATAACTCTTCACACTCAATTTAACTACAAAAACCTGATTAATATATTTATTATCTGACTTGAGGCTGCAGTCCCATGTGAGCGTTTTGCGTTGCGTTTTGTCACTAGGCTATGAGTGTAAATATAGCAAACAAATATCTGCATCTCTTTTAAACTCATGGCCTAGTTACAAAACGCAACAAAAAACGCTGCCATGGGACTCCAGCCTGAGACTATAAAATTAAAAGAAACATGTAAAAATGTACGATTTTCGTCTAAAGTTTGTTCAAATTATACTACTTTGTCATAATATGTTTGTTATATTTTGAGAAAAATACAAAATGCTGAATTTGAAAAAACTAATTCATTGTCAATAAATTAATTTCTTATAAAGTAAAGCTAAATTTAAACTCATTAATATTAATGTTTTTCTCACATTGTTTTATATCATTTTTCAAAACTGAACACATATTAACTTTCATTAAAAAAATATGAAATTGAAATCTAGAAAAATTAAATTTTTTGATGTGTAATTTTTATTTTGAAAATGTATATTAATTTATCCAAAATGAAAAATATAAAAAGAAATCAATATGAGTTATTTGAATCAAATTTTTGTTATTTATGCAATTCTATATTTTACACAAAACCTATAAATAATTAATCATTTGAAAGATTGAAAATTTTAAAAAATTAAGATTATATTGATGTTTCTCTTAAAATTAAATTTTTACATAATTCCCATTATTTTCAATTAAAAAATTTTCAATTACATTTTTTGTATTTTTAAAATAGTAAGTTGCATTAATTTTTATGAAAAATGTTCCGAAAACAAAAACATAAATTTCAATGCATTTCCCAAGAATGTTTGGATACCAGACGACTGGAACTTAGTGTAGGCGTTTGAACATTTTGTGTGGCTTGAAATTTTAAAGTTCCATTTTTGCTGATTTTGATTATTCCTCTAAAAGAAATTTACCTAGATACGCGATATCTTGGCAATAGAACTTTACCGAAATTTATTTTTTCTTTTACTTTTTGATATTAATTTCTCTGAAATGGTTGACTTGAAATCTACAAGGAAGTTTTTAACCTTCTGGTATATTATTTAAGGTGAACTTCCACGAAGAAGTTGACCTGAATTTACTTGGATACTTGGTAAACATAATTTATGACTTCCCAATGCTTCATTTTTGCCAAATAGTATTCCACGAATAAACAGGAAGTAATTTTGCATTTTCATCACAAAATTACGGGTAAAGAACAATTTTCGGAAAATCCGCGGATTTTACCGGTAATCTTTTCACGTGGGTTTACTCTCTTCGAAAATTATAAGTTAATATTTAATATAATACAGTTATTACACTATTTTCTAAAAATTGATATTAATAGGGTTACGACCCGCGTAAAGGATCCTAAAAATAAAAAAAATAAAAAAAATTTATTTGATATAATTACAACATGTATTAGTAATAACATTTCTGACGATTGTTGATTTGGTTCAGTACAAAGTCTATAACTAAAAAACAAAACATTAATAAAGTACTAAAAATATTAAAGGCAAATTCTTCCTAATAAAAATTATTAGTTCATATAAACAATGAAAAGAAAAATTTGTTTGATAGAGATTAAAACTTAGGAAAATTTTAATAAATATTATTGTTGTTTAATAATCATCTAAAGATGTCTATTTACACATTCTAAAAAAGAATTACATATTTTAAGAGGCTTTAAATTAAAATAAAGTAGCTTTGTACGTGAAGGAGACCGATTTTTAAATTTAAGATCATAAAAAAAACTTCAAACATTTTTTTAATCTTGAAACAATTTTTGTTACCAATGAATTTTTATATATGACTGTAATAAGCAAGAAAAATATCTTAAAATACCAATATACAATCTTTTCTCATTTATTTGTAGATTTTAAATCTTTTTGAAATCGTTTTATACGTTTTGTCTATACATATAAAAGGAACTGTAATAATTCGAAGCTTTATCATCAATATGAAATATTTCCTCAATATCACTGTTGATAATTATCATTTGGCGGTCATTTTAAGTTTACTGGAAGGTCGCTGTAATATTCCAATAAAATATTGAAATGATATTCAAGTAATATTGAAAGCTAATTCGGTTTTTTTATTATTCAACATTACACCTTACTCACAACTCATACGTTTAATATTTCTTTATGTAATACATGTTATATTTCCACACAAAAGAAAAACAAACGCTTTGTAGAAGGTCCTGAGTAATATCATAATCGCTACAGAAAGATAAACAACATTCTTTACATTAAAATATCAGTTTTATACGTTGAAATTTATTAAATTGTAATAGAAAAGAATTTTATTTTGATAATCCAATAACAGATCCAATTTTATATCTTTAAAAATCCTAAAGTTCTTTGTAGTTACAATAATTAACTGCAACATAATTTTCGAGATCAGCAGGCATTTTAGTTTTATCTATTTCTGCACTTAAACTATGATACCTTTTCCTGACGAAATGGGCTGACATTTTTGGTTGTCGATCTCTTGTAAAAATACCTTTCTTGTTTCCACCAACTCTCGTGTAAGCTATAAAAACAAAAAAATGTTTTATAATTTTTCATATTGTTTTACAAGTGTAAAGATTTATATTGTATTCCTTGCATAGAAACGAATCGATTTTTAAATATAAAGAATATGTTACACCCAAAATTAATTAAAATTTTCTTAATTTTTCAAAAGATTTAATTAATTTAAAACAGTTTTGAACTCCAAATGTTTTAAATCAATCAATTGAATTGGAGAAATTCATGTCTTCCTCCACGAGGAAGCATATTTTTTGCGTCACACAATGAGGAAGCTTATGAAATAAACATACAGGACCCCCTCCTTTTTTATTTGATAGTAACATTTGTGACGCTCCACGAGAAAAGGGACCTATCGCGGCAAAACAGAATTATGCAGGAAAGGCGTTTAAAGTTGAACGTTCTGATTGGTTGATACGCACCAGCGAAAATCAGCCCCACTATCTTACTACTACATCGTTCCTACGTCTCACGGATACACCAAGTATACTAGTAGCAGTGGTGGTGGGGATGGTTTTCGTAGTCCGTGCTGGAACGCGATTGACATGGTCATATTTAAAGCTTTATTACAAAAAAAGTAATTAGAAAAATATTATTTTTGACATTTCTATATGAAAGAGCAACTCAAATACTATCGATTCGCATATAAAACTAGAAATTAATTTTTTGTCGCGATAGGTCCCTTTTCTCGTGGAGCGTCACATTTATAACTCTTGAAGAATATTTTCCTAAAGTTTAAAGATAATTTCAGTATAACTCTAAGAATGAGAAAGAATTTTCGAAAAAAGTTTTTGTTTCGACTGACGACACCTCACAGTACTGAAGATGGTACTTTATGCTCGTCTAAAATAACGATAAATACTAAAAGCGAGACTGTTAAATATCGAAATGGTGCCATAAATTTTTAAATATTTATTTCTTTGCACAGCACAGTGGCCGATTTCCCGAAAAACCTGGCCAAAAATCAAAAAATGATACGATTTCAACCAAAATTGGTATACCCATGTTTTTTGGGCTTCTGAATTCAAATTTTACATTGGTTGTGTCAAATTCAAAATGGCGGATCCAAAATGGCCGTTTAGATTTAAAAAAACTTTGCTGAAAATCGAAAAATAATACGATTTCAATCAAAATTGGTATACCCATGTTTTTTGGGCTTCTGAATTCAAATTTTACATTGGTTGTGTCAAATTCAATATGGCGGATCCAAAATATTTGCTGGTATTATAAAATTGCGTATATGTGTTAGAGTTTATTTTTTTTAAATTACAGAAAGTGCTTAAATTTTAGTTTAAAGCGAATGCGAAGGAAGAAAAAGTCAGTCTTTCACGTTCAGTTGCACCGCCGGCCGGTGCAACGCGCTGTCGGTATACCGCGCTGGGTGAAATAAAAAGTGATACCAAAACTGCAGGGGCAGCTTGGGGCAGCTGATTTCAATTAAAATGAATCAAAAATATATATATATATATATATATATATATATTTACGTTGATAAAACAATACAAAAATCGTAGCCATGAATAGCAATGTTTAATATCATTTTTTAAAAACTGTACGTTTTAAATGTGATGATAAATACATTCAACCTATTTCATACACCTCTGTTAATAATTCCCAAAAAAAGATATTCAAAAATCTGCTGTATATTAGTATATTTTCACTATTTTAACTGTGACGAGAATTTATAGTTATGAAAGGTTCTGAGTAAATCTCTGGCAAAGATCACTTTTACTTGTTCACATAATAAATTGGTGGTGAAAAAAGTGTAATTTTTTTTTGCAAAATTATGCAGTGAACCCTCCTTTATAATATTCCATAATAAAAAGTATAAATTTCTAAAAAAAATTTTTGACTTTTGGCCAGGTTTTTCGGGAAATCGGCCACTGTGCACAGTTGCACACTCTTGTTAATTTAACCCATTAACGCCCAAAAACTGAAAATTCTTTGTACACATTCAGGCTACGTTATTTTAAGTAAATCGGTCAACATTTTCTACGAGAGGTACATTTCCTATAGGTCTTGAGGGTGCTCTTTCCGATTCCGGTATCAAAAATTAATTTCGTCTAAGCCGAAATTAAATATGGCGGTTTAAATGTTAAAAAACACAAAAAAAAATTTTTCAGTTTGACATTTACTTTCAATCGGAAAAAATGTAAGAATAAAATTAAATTGTCAACCATAGGTGCATAAAAGTTGTGTACTTTCGAGAAACGTAAAGTAGAATAAAAAATTTCAAGATGGCGGACAAAATATGGCGTTAAATTCATTGTAAAATGTGAAAATTTTGTGCAATATTGGTCAAATTGACAAAATGTAACTGGATTTGCCTGAATTTTGTTACTCGGGGGTTTTTGGGGTCGCTGATTAAGAATCTGAAGTCGGTTTTCAAAAATGCAAAATGGCCGATCCAATATGGCGGATGAAATTTTAAAAATGCATTCAATTGGTCTGAATTTTCATACTCGGAGGTTTTCGGGGTTGCAGATTACGAATATGACAAATGAAAAATGTAAAAATCCGTTCAAATAGCCTGAAGGGGTTTTCAGTTTTTTTTAGCAGCCCATTTAGGCGTTTACTAATTCTTACCACGTGGAGGTAGACAAAATTAAGAATGTTATTTTTTTTCTTTAAATATAATTTGTTTATTTTAGATTTAATTATTAATACTGAATTAAAAATTTATTTATTAAAATGTCTGAATATTTCTAGTGACATACACACAGTAAGAAATAGTTAGTAAAACTTTCATGAACTAGATATTATCTTCTGGATGGGCACGAAGTTAGTAAATTTTTAAACTTTTTTGACGAATTCATCAACTTTTTCTGTGCGCATGCGCAAACATTGGATTTTATGGAGATAGTGGTTATGGATCCGCCATTTTGTATTTTACAAACCCGACTACAGATTCTTAATCAGCAACCCCAAAAACCCCCGAGAAACTGATTTCATGTAAATACGATGGATTTTTTTTTAAATCCGCCATATTGGATCCGCCATTTTTAATTTTTAAAAATAGGAAAAGAACTAGGCGTAATTGCGCCTACATCTAGGGTTTCGTGGCGCTTTAAATTTTAATGTCAACTACTGGGACCTGTCAACTATAGGGACATGTCAACTATTGGGACATGTCAACTATTGGGACATGTCAATTACTGAGACATGTCAACTACTGGGACATGTCAATTATAGGGGCATGTTAACTAATGAGACATGTAATGTCCATTCGGGAAAATGTCCATTCAGTAAATGGAGATTTGGGATCTGTGGGGCCCCAAAATTCGAATTTGGAAGCTATGTTTGCCCAAAAATTAAATTTGGGATCTGTGGTGCCCCAAAATTCGAATTTGGAAGCAATGTTTGCCCAAAATTCGAATTTGGGATCTGTGGTGCCCCAAAATTTGAATTTGGGGTCTGTGGTGCCCCAAAATTCGAATTTGGAAGCTATGTTTGCCCAAAAATTAAATTTGGGATATGTGGTGCCCCAAAATTCGAATTTGGAAGCTATGTTTGCCCAAAATTCGAATTTGGGATCTGTGGTGCCCCAAAAGTTTAATTTAGGATCTGTGGGGCCCCAAAATTTGAATTTGGGATCTGTGGTGCCCCAAAAGTTTAATTTGGGATCTGTGGGGCCCAAAAATTTTAATTTGGGATCTGTGGTGCCCCAAAATTTAAATTTGGGATCTGTGCCCTAAAATTTGATTTTGGGAGCTGTGGTGCCCCAAAATATACTACGGACAGACGGACGCCAAAGTGAAACTATAAGGCTTTCGGCCATGGGCCACGAAACCCTAAAAATGAAGTTCGAATTCGTTATCAGCAACCCGGAAAACCCCCGAGTATAAAAATTTAGACCAAATAAATACATTTTTAAAATTTTTTTACCCGCCATATTGGATCCGCCATTTTGAATTTTTAAAAATGAAGATCAAATTCGTAATCAGCAACCCCGAAAACCCCCGAGTATAAAAATTTAGACCAAATAAATGCATTTTTAAAATTTTTATTCGCCATATTGGATCCGTCATTTTGAATTTTTAAAAATGAAGTTTAAATTGGTAATCTGCAACCCCGAAAACCCCCGAGTATAAAAATTCAGACCAAATAAATGCATTTTTAAAATTTTTATTCGCCATATTGAATCCGCCATTTTGAATTTTTAAAAATAAAGTTTAAATTCGTAATCTGCAACCCCGAAAACACCCGAGTATGAAAATTCAGACCAATTGAATGCATTTTTAAAATTTCATCCGCCATATTGGATCCGCCATTTTGAATTTTTGAAAACCGACTTCAGATTCTTAATCAGCGACCCCAAAAACCCCCGAGTAACAAAATTCAGGCAAATCCAGTTACATTTTGTCAATTTGACCAATATTGCACAAAATTTTCACATTTTACAATGAATTTAACGCCATATTTGGTCCGCCATCTTGAAATTTTTTATTCTACTTTACGTTTCTCGAAAGTACACAACTTTTATGCACCTATGGTTGACAATTTAATTTTATTCTTACATTTTTTCCGATTGAAAAAAAATGTCAAACTGAAAAAATTTTTTTTGTGTTTTTTGACATTTAAACCGCCATATTTAATTTCGGCTTATACGAAATTAATTTTTGATACCGGAATCGGAAAGAGCACACTCAAGACCTATAGGAAATGTACCTCTCGTAGAAAATGTTGACCGATTTACTTAAAATAACGTAGCCTGAATGTGTACAAAGAATTTTCAGTTTTTGGGCGTTAATGGGTTAATAAGGAGTGAATTTCTTGGAAGGATAAACAAATGAAAATTCCAAATTTAATCATTACTGAACATTTAATAAAAATACTTCTAGTCGTCAGAATGATCAACAGCAGAATGGTTATAACGACAGTTTTCTGAGGTATTATGAGGGTAAAATATTTGAAAACGTGGAGGGATGAAAAGAGATAGAATTTAACTAAACAAAGATAGACATATAATTTATGATTTTTTTAAAGTTTTGAAAGACGTCTCCTTCTGATATCTATTTTACAACTTAATCCGTGTGGTAAGAAGTACATTAAGTTTATTGCTAGTCCATATACAAATTTGTTTTTATATACCTTTATGACAGGAACTAAGATATATTTTTAAAGATTAACTGATCAATTTGCCTATTCAAAAACTTCAATTTTTAAAATATCTGCTGCCAATATTGTCATGATAAAGATTAAAAAATTTAAAAGTTTTACAATATTTTTTTTGAAAGAATGAATCTGAGAATGTTACATTTTACAACATAACATTTAGTTGGAAATTATATATAAAGATTGAACATCCCGCCCACCTTGAATGTTCAATTAATTTACTTATTGCTTGTTTCATTTTAACTCTAAAACATTATTTTGATGTAGATTACTTGATAATATATCTAATGAATATATGCGATAGTGTGGTATCCATGTAATATTTATAAATGTTATAATATCATTGAAATTACATTTAAATCACTATAACTGTAAATGTTTAATAAAAATTGAATAATTGTGTCGATAATGTTCATTAAACAGTTCATTTAAAAACATTATTTAATTGATAGTGCTGTCACTAACTTTAAACTTCGATAATACACTCCTGTCTTTTTTTTAACGGTAACGACACCAATAATACCATCTCTACCTGGGAGTCGATTATGTAATTTGATTTGACTTTGACTTCAAAGTCAAATTTATATTTTGATTGCAATACGTCAAATTGCTCTCAAAAAATAAATTTGAATGCGACGTTAAATTGAAATAAAAAATTAAATTTTAATTTAACGTCTAAGTTAAATAAAACAATGAATTTGTTGAGTTAAATTTGACATTGACGTTAAAATGAATTTGATTTTGACGTCAAATCAAATTACATAATCGACACCCTGAATGTACCTGTACCGCGATAAATTTTGAATGCAATAAATATTTCAATTTATAGGTTACTGTATGGTTTTCTCACTCTTAAATTGGTCGCAAAAAAATATAGTTCTTCCTCGGAAAAGTTTCTTAGCAGCAAAAGAAATTTTAAACTTCACATACAGTATTTATCAAAAAAATAGGAAAAGTCAATATCTCAATATGTCACATAAATAAAAAAAATAATTACAAACGACAACAAAGATACAATTTAGAGTGGAAAAATTTACCGGCTATTCCGCACTAGCTTATTTATACGTGTTTAACGACGGAGAGTGGGGGGGGTTAAATAATAAAATTAAATCAACATCATTTAATCTCAATATTAAATCACATTTCTTACTATAAATTTACGCATTATAAGTATCGAATTTCTCGACTTTGTTTCTTTAAATGATTAACAAAATTAACATTCTCGAATTGAGGGAAATACAAAATTTTGATGTGGAAAATATAGATTGGTCACCAACAACGATAATTATGTCAAAAAAAAATATAAGCTATTATAAATAAACATCGAAATTCGTGGAAAAAAAAGAAATGAAAGGTCACCTATTTTATTAAAACAATATTTAGATTACACATCATAATCGATAATTGGTCAAAATTAAACCAAAAATAAAATCAAAATTTAGATATAAACAATAATTCTAAACGTAATTCTAAAATTTATTAAATTTGTGGCTCTTGCCAGCTTAGGGACCGTTCATTCACACTCATAGTAGCAAATCAGATACAAAGAAAAATGATTGAAATCGACAAAAAAAAGGAGGGCGGAAAACGAAAAAAATGTTACCTAACAATATATCAAGACCATGCGAAAAATATTGCGTTTAGTCAATCACAATCAGTAATGGAATAGAACAATTAGTTACGAGAAAACTACAGCAAAAGAAAGGAGAACATATCTCAAAATCAACAAAAGAATCAATATATAGATCAACTAAACACAATAAATATGCGCAGAAAACTATACCTGCTATATAGAGTTGACACACAGCAAGAGGCTTATCTGGATAATTTTCCAGCTCACGCACAACACTACACTATTTTAATGAAAACTTAGTATCCCAAAGTTTGGTGTTTCCTCGATGACGTAAAGAGGGTAAAGGTTACCTTTTTCGTCAACTTTTGATACTAATCATACTGAATTCATTTAGACAATAAATAATTTCCAGTCTTAGCTCGATCGATTATTATGTCGCAAAATTCATTTGTCGAAAAATCAATGAATTTTTAATGACACATTCTTTGATGGTTTTTCCGCAATATCCTTCCCAAATAGCATCGAAAATAATAATTATTTAGAATAATAATAATAATTCTTTGAGAATAGACCAACGCTGACCGTATGGTCTAGTAGAAATTCTAACAGTTTGTGCTCACTGGAGCGGATCTGCGGTGCACAGTGGTGCAAATTTGCAATTTACTATTCAAAACAGGCTAAAGCTTTTATTTATTAACAGATTTTCAATTTTTTTTAAATTACTCAGGATAAAATTATTAACAACTCTGTCTTAGTGGATTTTTTATTTAATTTGTTAATAATTAAATGTTGAAACAAACTTATAAAAAAACAAAATTACTAAGAATTAATTATTTATATTTTTGTGGAAATATTCTAAAATAACTTAAAAATAAACAAACCTAATCCAAAAAACCTTGAAAAATAAAAAAAATTGTTACTTAAATGTAATTGTTGTATATTTTTAAAAGTTATAAACAAATGAATATATAATTACAAAATACAAAAATAATTAATAAAAATTGAATAAACAAAATTTTTAGTTACTACTAGTAGCTAATATATACATATCATATATGATTATTCATTAGTTTATAATAGTTTAAACAATTTTTTAATGCTTTGTTTATTAGATTAATTAACCGATTGCAACATTAATTTTTAAAAAAGATTGATTAAAACGACAAACATTCTAATGGGGGGTTTTGGGGTCGCTCATTACAAATATGTAATCCGTTTTTCAAAATTCAAAATATCGGATCCAAAATGGCGGACGAATTTATAAAAATTGCTCAGATTCTCTTAAAACTAGTTACTCATATTCGATTATCATATTCAGATTTTGAGCTAGTTTGCGTTCTAATGTATCAAAACGACGTTTTGCTGTTTGATAATAATCACGTAACGTGGACTTTTTTCCATTAAATGGTAAACAAACAATAAATTTTCCAGTTATTGAATCTCTTCGTGTAGTTTCATTATAAAAGGTTTCTACCTGCATTTCTTCTTTAGATAAAAATCTTTGGTCTTTAAATTCCCCTATTGCCCACAATTTTAAAAGATCTTTATGAAGTTAATCTATAGACTAAACGACTTGTTTACCTTCGGTTTTATTACCTTCAGTACCGATTTTTCCTGAAATGATCCACCCTAATTTAGTTTCTGTGATTTTAGCTTTGTATCCGTCTAATTGAATTTGCCCTACGCATAATAACTCATATAACATTTCAACTCAGAGTAAAGCATCAATTTCGCGTGGTTTATTAAACTTAGGGTTTACAAGTTTTATAATATTTAAAATATTTGCATTTTGTTTATCTATGAATTGATCTGGTAAATATAATCGCAAATACGAGGAATAATTAAGAATTCTAAATTTGCATTGTAATTTTATTGTTTAAAAGTGATTGTGGTGTTTAGTGATTCTTTAATTCGAGTTAGTAGTTTATTAAGTCCATCAACAGGAAAATTTATTTGTTTAAAAGGTTGCTGCCTTTTTTTAATATCAATTAACGCAGTTGATAGTTAAATTTGACTTCGAATAATCGCGTTATGTACCTTTACACCCTAAAAAAATAATGTAGCTTCTAGCGGATTTCTCTTAATTTGATGCTTATTTTCCTCTTTTATATTGTATCAAAATTAATAGTCTTCACTTGAAAGGATTTTCCTCTTGCATATTATTTGCCAATTATGGTTATAAACTGATAAATAAAAGCTATAATCATGCACTAAATTAAATATTTTTAATTAAATAAACCTAGTTAATGATTTATAGTTAAATAGTCACAATAATTAATAAATTTGTTTATTTATTAATTTAACTTTAATTCAATGTTTTTGGCATCCGAACCTTAAAAAAATTGTTTTGTTTTATTATTAGTCACTAAAGAATAAAAATATTCTACATTTAAGTGGAATACTTTTTTTTAAGAGGAAAAATTGCGAGGATTTTATAAGAGGATTTTTTTTACCTGTCGATAAGATTTCCACTGTTAGGGCCAAAAGTGTGTTGAAACAAATTTTAACGAATTTTTATTAAACTTGGTATACTTAGTTATTTAGGGTTGCTGATTACGAATCTAAGATCAGTTTTTCAAAATTCAAAATGGCGGATCCAATATGGTGGATTGAAATTATTAAAAATGTTCGGATTCGATTAAAAGTGGTTACTCGGGGGTTTCCGGTGTCGCTGATTCCAAACCTGACATCAGTTTTTCAAAATTCAAAATGGTGGATCCAATATGGCGGATTGAAATTATTAAAAATATTCGGATTCGATTTTTAAGAATTTCAATCCGCCATTTTGAATTTTATAAAACTGATGTGAGATTTGGAATGAGTGACCCCGAAAACCCCCGAGTAACCAGTTTGAGGAATATTTAAGATTTTCTTAATCACTTTTTATAAGTTTCACATATATGCGTCAAGTGCACTCTTGTCCATTTTTAGTTTTGCGCATATATGCGTCAGCGACAGGCAAACAAACAAAAGCAATCTTAACACCGAAAATTCCTTCCCAAATTATCTCAAAGGAGATACCGTCGAAACCAGTCAAAAAGGGAAACGACCTTCTGAGACACGACAATAACTGAATTTTCTCATACTCACGGCTCTTGCCAAAATTGATTAATGATGGAGATTCGTCCAAGTCAAATTAATAAAGAATCCAATAATAAGCCAATTTTTATTCAATTTTCTTTTATTCAATTTTACTGCTCTTCACCAATCTACTCCAATTACAACACACAAAAAAGCCACTCTCGGTCACTCGAACGATTACTTTTTACAATTAATTTTTAAGGCCGCTGATTACGAATCCTATGTAAGTTTTCCAGAATTCAAAGTGGTAGATCCAATATGGCGACTAAATTTCATAAAATTAATTAAATTCACTTGGAAATTACTACTCGGTGTTTTTTGGGGTCGCTGATTACGAGTTTGATGATAGTTTTCAAAAATTCAAAATGGCGAATCCAATATGCTTTTAAAATTGATGGCAAATGGTTCCTCAAGCAAAAACGTCTATTACTTCTAGATTAACACCAGATTCGTAATCAGCGACCTCAAAAATCCCCAAGTGGCAATTTTCAAGGGAATTTAATTAATTTCATAAAATTTAGTCGACATTTTGAATTTTAAAAACTATCATCGGATTCGTAATCAGCTACCTCAAAAATCCCCGAGTAGCAATTTTCAAGTGAAATTAATTAATTTTATAAAGTTAGTCGCCATATTAGATCCGCCATTTTGAATTTTCAAAAACGCCACACGACAACGAAAAGTAATTGTTTTTATTGAAGTAATAAGCCTATGCCCGATTTTCAATATTTAAACTATTTTTGAGCAGAAGGGGGCTTCAGTTGACAAATAATGCCATATATATATATATATATATATATGTATGTATAACGCATGCTTTAGGGACCCTAATTTTTTTCTACATACATAGCTTCGTTATTGTCTAACTAAATAGATGCAACAGAAAATTTTGATATACAATCAAAATTATAAGAAAAAGATTGATTTTACTAACACATCGCATACTTTGGGGACTGTCCTAAAATATGCAGAAAATCCAAGTCCTCGAAAAATGCGTATAATGCGGATATTTTGTCTGACGTCATTATTCCTCAAACTATGCTTTATACACAGACGTAATTCATATGTATAAAGCATGTTTTGGGGACGTTAAATTTCTTTTCTACAAATGGAGGAAAGAATACTTTAAGGACCTTTAGTCTGCATTAGTACATTAATAGAGTTACAAATGCCCTTTCGAGTTCTCGTACTGTTTCCCAGCGGTTTTATACTATTACTACAAATGCGTAGTATTTTTTAGTGATAGTGAATCATGCGCAGTAGTGTCCTATAATATTATTATGTATATAGTGGTATAGTTTGGTACCTACTGTAAAAAGTGAGCAGTACTGTAACATAATACTAACACAGGCGTCATATTGCCTTATTATTTTTACACATGAGCATTAAACTTTTATTATAATTCAACATACGAAGCAGTATTAATATTAGTTATTGGTGCGCTAAACTGTTGGTAGATGTGGATACATGCGCAATAGTACTCTGCGATACATAATCATGCGACCAAATATTCTACAATTATTGAATGTGCGCTGTAATATCTTTTGCATATTTAAACATGCGCA